CCCAATAAATATTTGGAGAGCATATTTTCTGGAGGAATTGAAGAGAATATTTTAACTATTATTAGTTATGCCAAGCTTAAAGGACACTAGGCGTAGTGTAAAGAAAACAAAACAAAACCCCCCAAAAAACAAAACCAAAAAACCAACCAAAACACCTTCGAGATCCAAGATCTGATCCAACTTCCACTGAAGTTTGTAGGGTTTTTCCCTGCAAAATATACAGCCATCCTCAGCTACATTGTCCTCCTCCATATCTTCTCTCAGTACTGGTTTTAATGTATTGACAAAACAAAACAAACCCCCAAAGCCATAAACAACCCCAAGCCCCACAACTGATAAGAATGCTTCAAGTTTTCATTATTTTGTTACTCAGATTCATGACAGCTGAACTATTCTCAATCCAACAGTTGCTGGGACTAATAGATTGCATTTAAAAAAAAGATCTAGCTAAATTATAAAGCAAATTTCTAGCAAAGTCACAATTATAAAACAAATTCCCAGATAAGAAGTTTACAGTGTGATCTAGTTCACCCTTGAAACTCAGAAACCAAAAGATTTATATAGTAAAAAAAAAAAAAAGCAGCACCATTTAACTGTGTTTGAAATGTCATTCTTCTTTAACCAATCTCCATGTCTTGAGTCCAAAGCATGGTAGCCAGATATTTGAGTTTTGTAATTAGCATGAGAGAGCTTAAAGGCTCATCAGATATTAATCTGATATGAATTATATTAATGTTTTAATTTATTAAAACTCACCACAATCTTAAGTTTTAAGTCTTGGGTAGGTCACAATATTCACCTGGGACTGCAAACAGATCTGAGGGCAATAGCCTCCCCATTCTCTGGTAAGAAACAGGAAAGGATTCCTGTCATTTTCTTTTTGCAGCCAAGGGTATTACATAAAGAGATTGAGGAATACTGGATTATAAACACAAATGAGTACATACCTAACAGTAAATTCACCAGAGCTATAGTTTTCTCTCTAATACCTTTTGCATTATGTTACTTAATCCTAATCCTTAACTTCACAAATATTTATCAGTGGGTAACAATGCAAGAAGATTCCCGATGTGCAAAAGTAATTTATGTATATAAATATTGTAGGAGCAGAGCCTTTGGCAACAGACTGCAAGGCAAAGACCATTTCTTCCTTTGAAAGTGTATAGCACCTTGAACAATGACCTAAACCTCCCACTCTTACTGCAATATAAATATTATCAAATAATACACACTAGTCATTTTCTAACAGTCTCCAACAGAAACCAGATGGTAGCACGAAGAACTGAACTTAAGACGTTGCCATAAAAATAAGACATCCAGTTGAATGAGGGCAGTTGTGCAGTAGCAATTGCATGATTATGTACTTCTAACATCACTGACTGTAGTTTTCTTAGAGAAAACTATATTGGATAAAAAAAACAAACCCCACATAATCAGACTGTACATGAGAAAACCTGACAAAACATAGACACCTTGTATATCTACAGGTACAGTTAGCTATGGTGGTTCTTTCCTGCTAGTTTCTCTGTTATCAGTGAGACTCTCCTTCACTAAAGTGTTGTTACACATGAACCAGACCTGATCCATATTTCTAGCATCACCTCTCCGACAACCAAAGTATGGCTCAGATTGCTGTGTAAGCTTGGGGTATGTAATGTCGTACCACTATGCTCAGTCATCACCCAACTTTCTCTGGTTTTACTTCATTCAAGTAAATTGATCTGTCTTGAGCCCATTGCTGACCATCACTGGCTCTTGCCTTGAACAAATGCAGTGGTTTCATCCTTACTACAGAGTGTCTTCACATAGGCTTGCATAGAGTTCTTGTGCATGCCAAGAGACAAAACTACCATCTACCACACGAGCTGGGCTGTGGCCAGGAAAGGGTCATTTTAGTTTCAATCTCCTCTTGCTCTTCCTGCGTGTTTTATCACCAATGGAGTGACTAGTATGCAGCCCAACACCCTTATGCAGCAAGCTGATGTTTCCTGCATACTAACACCCTCATATTCACAATACTGACTTTTAGGAGCACCAGGAGTCACTCCACATTTTTCTAGCAAAGAATCTGCTCCGTCTAAAAAAAAAAAAAAAAAAAAAAAAGAGCAACACTGCTGATGGCAGCACTACACCAACTTAAGAACAGTAGCTCCAGGTTAGTTCAAGTAGCCTGCAGCTTAAGATTATTACCCTTTTCCCACTGATTTCCAAATGTCCTTTCAGCTTGATATATCCCCACATCTGCTATTCCAAAACCAGGATGCCCAGGCCTCTGTAAGACAGCAGCCCTGTTTAGTTCCACAAGCCAAGTTCACCAGGCTGTAAAACTCACCTCATTTGCCAGTCTGTGCAACCCTGGCATTGGAACCCCCTCTAGAAAGGCCATTGTGCAGACACATAACCCAAATACAGGCCTTTCAGCAATATGGAAAGTCTTGAGAAACTTAATTGATCATGAGAAATTTCAAGCACTGAGTAAAACTCTGATATTTCTGATAAATACCATGGAGGCCTCATTTAGATTAAAAAAAAAAAAAAAAAAGACAAGAAAATGAAAAGCATAGTCCTGAGTTGCATCTGTATCCTGAAATATTTCTGTAGTTTTTATCCTGATTTTGCCATACTGTCAATACCAATACCACAACTCCTTATGTAACCTCTGTTCGACAACTGAAATCTGTTGAAGAATTTTTTAAAAAAGTTCCTGCTGAGAGAGCATATCACAAGAATTTTTAAAAATAGAAATCCAAGTTGAACGAACTGTGCCTTTTTGCTGTATGAATTGATGTTGATCCAAAACCAAAAGGAAGATACCTCCATCATCAGAAGGGATTCTGGATCTAAAATGCAACTACAGCTAAAAGAAAGGTAGCATATGAAAAATGACATACATGTGTACTGCTCTCTTTGAGTTATATTCCTATAAGGAGGATTATCAGAGAACGTATACATTGTTTGGCATATTTATTACATTGTGGGGTTCTGCCACACAGTCATATTTCAGTCCAATTAATTAAAGCAGAATTGAGTGTCGTCTCTCGCCATACTTATAGGTGGAAAGTTAAGGGTGCCCAGTATTAATGCCTTTCAACATAGATCCTCTTGCTAAAGAGACAGAGGAGACAATCTTCTTTGTAGATTGATTCATGCTGACTGTATAGGCTTCCATATGACTATACACGTGTGTGGGTTATACTGGAGACAGCACAAAATGGGAGGTGCATCATCTGTCACACTCTTTCCCCTCAGCTGAAAAGGTCTCTCTCCTGGGCAGCTCTATTAGACAGGAGTTTGGCAGCACTGAGATGGCACAGCTGCAAGCCACAGCGCAGCCACTGAGAGGTCCCTGCCCCGGAAAGTTCCCCCAAGATCTTTGCAAATGTCTCACTTCCTTGCATCCCTCATTCCCAAAAGTTCACTTGGGGAAAGATGGAAGAAGAATGGAGGAAAATAATTTTTCTTCCATTAGGTGGACCCTCCCTGTCACTCATTAGTTTTCTATTAACAATAATTATCTCTTTCCAAGTTTAGCTCCCAGTTATTTTAAGAAAACCATACCAGACAGTACCACAAAAAGGATAAAGGGACATCCTCCAGCTTGACTCTTCTAATGGTGTTTTCTGAAGAATTATGACCGACTTTGCATCTTTCATAAGCCAAATGACTTTTAATAAACTAATTTCCAGGACACATTTATTTGTTAGGATTCTGCGAGCAGCAGTGTTATATGGAGGCCTTGCTATCCTGTATTTTGCTAGATGGCATTATGATGGCAAGCTTAACAATCAGGTGCCTAGTACCTGTTTTTCAGTGCTCCTTTCAACTATCATCACAATAAATACATTAATAGACATTATAAACATTTTTCATCTTCCACTGTTATGCAATGCCCTAATGAAGCACAGTGCTTTAGTGAGGAACAGCTAGGTAGGTGGAAATGGTGGGTGGAATTTAGGTCAGAGAAGTTAATTACCTGATCTGGAATTTGGCCAGAATACCAGGGTTAACACCTGTAATCTTATGAAAGCAGTGTATTAATTCATTATAAGGAAAGCAACCACCTCAGGTAGTTGGGACCTCTTTTTCACATTTCGGACAGCTGCTCTCAAGTACCTTGCCCTTTGGCTGCATAGTAGGGCGTGGCTCTCTAGTGATTTACACCATGAACTTAAACATTAACCACCACGTTTGAGGTCTCAGCCTGAGTGCAACTGTAGTCTGACCATGCACAGCATGAAGAGGTACACCTGTAGGAGTTGGTTTACTCAGGGCAAGCTTTTGTATAGTTGACAGAGAGCATTCAGAGAGGGCTCGTCTCTGCAATTGCAGCAAGGGGTATGCACACATTTTTCTAACCCAGTGCAACAATCAAAACATCAATACATTCTGTCCTCATTTCTGTGCCGAAAGCAGAGCAGTTTCCAGAACAAGTACCTTATGCCTGGAAAGAATAAGAAAGAGAGCAAAGCACTTATAAATGTGTAATGATAGTTTTTCTGTTTGTTTGGTTTTTTTAAACCTAAGGTAAATTGAGTTGTATTCAAAAGGACTGACCGATTAACTACTGAAAAAGCCAAAATCCCACTGTCGCCACAACTGACAGCTTGATTAGTGTCTCTTTTTCAAGGTTTTGAAAAGTACCTTAGCAGGGCATGGGGGGAGAAGCATAAATTATTATAGTACCACCTACAGCTCTCATTAATTCCCAGTCAAAGAAATGTCAAAAACTTAAAAAATACTGTATTTGCTTTCCAAAATGTAAACAAATTCCACAGGACTGCGCTGCTCTGAAGTCTAGGAAATAATCATATATCAGTGTCTGGGTGGACAGGGCAACACTGCTTTCTGGGAAGACGGCTGCTGCCACAGCCCAGCCTGACCTTCCTTACTTCACCTCTCACAGGTCCACAGCGCTCTCTGAACTGGAGGTGGCCTCACATGCCGGCCCTTTTCTCACTCACATACACAGACACACTGTTCACAGGATGCCCTCAACTCACCATGGAATTCATGGCAAAGTGATTGTGCTGTGTCTGTAGGTCAAGGGCATGTTGGTAGCTCACGCCGATCTCTGTGTGACTCTGCAGGAACAATTCTTTGTTGTGGCTGATCCAGTCGAACATCTAGAAGTATTCACACAGGACAGAGGAAAAAAAAAAAAAAAAGTGTTAGACAAGGATGAAAAAAATAAGAGAAAGTCCAAAATGTAAAAATCCACAGTTCTGAGACAGATACATATGCAACACAGACAGCAAACCCCTCATCTATGTTTCTCATCAAAATAAGCTGTTGTCGAGCAATAGAAGCATTTAAGTTATCACCATATTTCATTATTAACAGAATGATAGGTCAGGAAACATAACTCATAAAGCATGTTCCTCAGTAAGCTGATCCCATAGTCTTTTCCTGTAAGTAATGGGAATTTCATATATAGAAAGATGGCAGCAGAGGGACCTAAAATCAGGGGTTGCTTCACTGACCGAAGATCTAGCAGTTCATAAAGTACCCTTAATCCAGAAATGGACCAAAAATTCCATAAATATTATTGATGTGATTTTGTCACCCCCCCCTTTCTTTTTCATCTATACATAAAGTTTCCAAATGTTACATTAAAATAGCCGGCTGACTTCCTACGCTTATATTTCCTAGATCTTTCCAATTCTAAAGCCAGAATCCAGTCTATCTTCCACTTATTATTTTTGGGATGAAGAGAGAAAAAGAAAAAAAAAGTATTTTATTAATATCTATAAAAAGTACACATTTCAACTTCTCCCACTTCCAAATGTATTTTCAAGCAAAATGGATAGTTCAGTACTTCAGACAGAGAGAAATATATTGAATGAAGATGATGAAACTCATGCCTTATTTTGTAGCACGTTAATGTGATGTTTCAATCTGCAGCACGTTCATTTGTTATAAGCTGTCACAATTCAGCTAGGAGATAGCATGTTTATATTTTGGCTTGTTTTGTGTTGTGTTAGAGAATAAATGCATTCAAAGTGAGAACCTTCCATTCTTTACTCCTGTCTACAGCTCTGCAGGCATTACAATCTCAGATTTCTTCTCTTCTGCAAATATTTTTGTTACAGAATCCCTTCAAACCGTGTTCCCTCATCTCCAACCCAGCAAGCTGGGGAACTGTCCATTAATAAGGACTCTTTCATAATAAAATAACCAATGTATTAATTCATTATAAGGAAAGAAAAACTAATCGTAGAGGCAGTAGAGGTCAGGTCAATACAGTTCCTGGTGTTAGAGAAAGCATTTTACGGTGAAAAGGCAAGTGATGCAGCTTCTAAGCAACCACCTTACAGTCAAAGGATCAGTCCAGATCTTTGTTATTACATTTGTGTGTCCTCCAGTCAAGAGCTGTTTTGTTTTTTAGCACTAAATAACAATTTTTGACCTGTGACAGCTGAAGAACACTCAGAGCCCACTGCTCAGGCACTGTATGTTGCTGTAGTTTCTCAGGGTCAGTTACCCATTCCCTGTAGAGATAGTGCTCCTAAGAGTAGAGAAAAGGCCCTGTATGGCTCACCTGAGATTCCTGCAATAAACTCAGCATTTCATGCTGAGCATTCAATTCAGCAGGGGAGAGCACTGTTTTATGCAGGGGATTTGCAGAAATAATATTGAATATCCCTTTCATCAAAAGGCAAATAAACATTGCAAGTGCTCCAACGCCACCAGACACACTACACTGACCTGGTCCCAAAAATCTGTCATATATGCCTGACTTCTTAATCTTTTGTTTATGAAAATATACTTGCAACTACAGAGTCTGTACTAGCTTGTATTTTGTGTTGATGATAGTCTTAATGGCCAAATTTGGTTCAAGTTACAATGATGCAAGTCCAAAGTAATCTCATTGACACAGTTACTTTCTCGTTTGTACCCATGGAGCTGATCAAAATCAGGCCTACCACCATTTTTTCAGAAAGTATAAATAAAAAGATTTTTGCAAGGATGAGGTCAGGCGTTTCAAACATTACTGCCAATTAAACAGAATGAAACAACCTACCTTAACCTGAAGAGACACCTAAAGCTTTCTCATTGGATTCCTTTTTCTCACTTTATTAAGATTTAATAAGCAACATTAGCACAAAATAATTTCCCACACTTGAGGGCTTAAAGAAAAAGCTATAAAGCCAGTAAAGAGAGAAAAATTCCATAACAGCAAAGTTCATGTCCCAACAACAAGATTTTACATCTCTGCTGAGAAACCAACACACACTTGTAAGTAGATATACGTTTGATGTGAACATTTCTTAATGTTTTAAACAATATAAAGACATTCAGGGAAAAAAGAACTGGCAGCAATCCACTAAAAATAAACAGTAAATCTAGTATTTTATGCTCAGCAAAGCCAAATCAGGATCTTTTAAAGACAAGTAATTTAAACTAGTAATCTATTATTCTGTGGATAGGGAGCATTTCCGCCATCTAATCTATACACATATTATTGGATGAGAATCTAGGTTACGTTAAACCAGGCTTCTGCCTTTTAAAATACAATAATAAACTATCAAGAAAAAAAAAAAGAAAGAAATTTAGGAGATGATTAATCTTTTTGTCTTATTTAATCAACTGAAATACGCAATAGCAGTTGAAAGGATGACCTTCAAGAATTTTGAGCAACAGACCTCAGTGGTGAGATCTGTACCACCTTCCGAAACAGTATGTTTTTTTAACCTTCTACTCATGGACAATAGCAGATTTTGGAAGAGACTCAATTTCAGTTTAGACTTTCAATCTTTCTATTGTAGTCTTCATAAAAAATTACTTTGGTTTCAGCTGGCCTATGCCTGTAGCAAATTATTCCCCATCAATATGGTCTGGAGTCTCTCCCTGACTCTCTCAGGTCTCACTTGAAAGCCCAGAGAATGAAGAGTTTTGAGTTTCATGTGGTTTGGAGCAGGGAGAAAATAAAGCAAGTTGCCTAGGAATGAGTGCAGAATAAAAAGATGCAGATTCACTACAGCCTAAAGTAGGGTTAATGATGCACTTTGTAATGTAAAAACTTACATTGCTCTTGAGTCTTAATGAATAATAAGCAGTATTTACAGTCATTCTTACTTTATACAGCAACCAGGGCTTTGCAAGACTGCAGACATGTCTACCTTATGCAAAGCATTACTATATCTGAGATATCCAAACAAGTTCCACATGAATTGGTACCTCTGCATGGCACAGTCCAGTGCTGTGTGGAAATACTAACTTGACCCTCAAAACAGCACAGCCTGGGCACAGTACTGCTTGGATTTGTCTACATTGCTTTTGTTTCCAGGGCTGGTTCCTTCCCAGACTTCTCAAGCATTTCTGCTTAATGCTTACTTAACTCTAGACATTTTCCCAAGCACCCAGAAGAGACTAGTGGGTTTTCTTCTCTTTTGGCATCATGGAAAACTTCGTAATTTCACCCTCCAACCAAGGATGTGTGGAAACGATAAGTATCGCACAGTCCCACAGATCACAAGGTTTGCTTAACAAATGTGGGATTTAAATAAATAAATCAATAAATACATAAAAATGGGGTCTTATTTGCTTTTGATATCTAATGGATTGTGTTTTCAAACTTTTCTCTTTGACCACAAAGTCTAAAATGCACTTAAACAATTTTCTCATGATAATACAACTGGAAGTCGAGGCTCTGAAAATACCAGATGATGGGTGACTCATGATGATGCTGTGAGAGTTTGCAATGTGTGGCCAGGAGGTTTCAATATAAAGGTCTGTCAACATTGTCTGGCCTGGCCCATATTACTAGCAATATTTCCTGAAAGACTTCAAGTTAAACTTGTTTTCTACATGAGAAACACCGATGCTTCCTGTGTTCCTGAAGTGAGTGTGCTGCCTAGTTTGCTTAATTAAAGCACGCCATTAAGGATGTGAGCATGGCAATGACCCAACAATTGCTATTTTACTCAACCCTGCAAGGACCACTCCGGTGTCAAGGGGCTAACTTGAGCTCCTGAAAGAAAGTTCAACATCCTTTGATAAGTTAGTTTGCCTGTCAAAGGAATGAGTTTTTAATACAGTAAATAGCAGAGTCTGGAGAATGTGCCCTGTGAGATCAGTTTAAACCAGATACAGTGTCTCAGCTAACTGAGATTTTCTGTGTTATTATAACATTGCAATATAGCACTGTATCAATTGATCTCATCCTATTCATGAAAAAGACTGCCCTAAAAAACCTAGCCTAGTGATTATCATAAAGTTAATGGATCTTTAATTATTCCTTTGACTTACTTCTTAGTTGGAGTCATGCTGACTGCCAGTGAGTTAATTCTTCTCTTAAGTCTGCTAATCATTCCTGCAGTCATGAATTCACACTAAAAGGAGTGCAGAATAACTAAGATTGGACATTATATCACCTAAAACATGTGAACCAACTGTCCTCAATGTCTCCCAGACTGGCACTTCTCCACATTGCTGTAGATAATCTGGAGACTAATTAAGTAGTTAAGAGTTTTCCAGTGACTGAGTAGCTGGGGGGAGGAGCTAAGCATACTTAAAACCGAAGATAAACTCCAATGTGATCATCTCTTGTAGTCCCCATTCCTAATAATACATAAAGGAAAGTGAATGCATATGCTGAAGAATGTTAAGTGCTGCATTTCATTAAGAAAATTAGTCTCTTATGAGGGAGTCAGAAGAACTAAGAATGATCCAGAGGGTCTCCACCCAACGCTTTGTTAAAGCATCTACCCTAACTGTCTAACAATCATACATGCACCAGTAATTATTACACATGTGGTCTTGAGGCCACTTCACTGGAGAGTTAGGGTATCAGATCATATCTCCAATGCCAGTCGTGCTGGCAACAATGAGTTCGTAGCCTCATGTTTTGTCATCATAGTTGATGAGTTACTAGAAAATCCAGGTTAAGTGTTAGACCAAAGAGCAGGTCTCAAGCTGGCCATGAGTAAGTCCTAAAGAGGGAGAATGTGACTCCATACTTTCTCTAGATTTGTAACATCTGGCAGGCTAGTGAGTACAGGACAAGAACAGCTGTTTGAGAACAGAGAAGAAACACATGGATAATGGAACAGCATGTATGCAGACTGTGTGCAGTCCAGCCCTACTTCAGATAAAATGAGATTTCACATAATAACCTCTGCTC